CAACATCATCCTGCCGCATATCTTACGATCTTGTTTTGCGACCAACTTACTGTTTTTATATACGCAAGACGGTATCTTTCTTATCAACTGAGATGGAATTTGGGTGTGGTTAGGGAATTCTGATGCTTTAAAGGTACAGCGCAGGACTCATCAACTAATCAGAAACACTTCCAGTGAAACCGACAAACTCACAAACGGGGGATAAAACCAAGCATGATACAACAGATCAATTCATCATATCATTGCAGCAAGTCTGGCGACAGTCTGACCTTTTCAATACGTTTTTTAACCCACAATCTCATGCGACATATGTCATACAATGAACTAGGGCAAGCCTTAAGAATCATGGGTTAATACATAAGGAGCATGAAGATGAAAAAATGATACACTGTCAGCCAATATAATGGCGTAATCTTTCACCGGATTTAGAATGGGCAGCAACCCATGATATTTCTTACAGGGTATATTGTGTATTTGTTGAATAGTGCTGAACAGACTCATATTCCTGACGCCACTCATTGCGAGCTTCTGACAAAAAGGAATGGAGGACTTGGGTGCTCTCTGATCAACGACGGCTTAATTTAGTTTAAAGGGATTGAGCCTATCGCAAGATCATATCTGAGATAAACAGGGGAAAGTTATGCTAACTTTCCTGATCCATTTGGCACATTCCCTGCACTAGGGTTTCTTTTGCACTAAAGAAGTTTGCAATATCTCGATATTAACACCAGCCACTGGAGGACGAGTTCATTTGATGGATTGTATGTTTTTTCATGAAAACTGATTTGTTTCCAAAGCGGGCATATCAAGGCTGTGAAGGTCCAATGAAATAAGCATTTTTTCCAAAAATATTAATCCGCACGAAGAGTGTTCCAAAATACATCACCATGCGACAACGTACTTTCTTCACGATCAGCGATGCATTGCTGACGGTCTCTAAGAAGACAATCCGAATGGCTCAGTTGTAGCATGCAACGTTTTGAAGATGTAGCGTGCTGCTTTCGTGTTATCAACATAGCCTGTACAACATTAGGTGGTTTGGTATGCACAATAGGTGGTTTGATCTTAAAGGGCTGATAAAGTTAAGTGACTCGGACTGTGGCGTGAGATAACATCTTTTTGTTTAAAAGTAGTATTAGTAGTATGCATGGCATATTAGAATTGTAAATAGCATGAGAGTAAGCAGCAATAGTAATACACGTAGTGGTGGAAGAAGTAGTGAGCTGTAGTAGTAGTGGTAATAACTGAAGTAGAAGTAGTATCTGCATTAGTATCAAAATTTAGTCGAGGCCTTTTACTCGGATGGATTTCTGGGATGAGCGCCTACGCCAACCAGCGCGCGTGGTGTAACCCCCGACCCCGCCACCCAGTCGGTAAACTCCAGTCCAGCGCGCGTGGTGTAACCCCCGACCCCGCCATCCAATCGGCAAACTCCAGTCCAGCGCGCGTGGTGTAACCCCCGACCCCGTCATCCAATCGGTAAACTCAAGTCCAGCGCCCGTGGTGTACCCCCGACCCCGTCATCCAATCGGCAAACTACAGTCCAGCACGCATGATGTAACCCCCGACCCCGCCATCCAATCGGCAAACTCCAGTCCAGCACCATCATTTTTCGGCGAAGTCGTAGCGTGCTGTAATGCTTGGCAGGTCCCGACCTGTACTCTGGGGTCACCTGACCTTTACTGCGGCTACTGTCAGCGGTGGCATGCCATCACCGTTAGGAGCAAGTAGCGACCACGTAAAGCGACTCGAACCCTCCGCGCCACGGGTCGGTGGCCCGGGAAAACTACTGAAAAATAGGCTAAAAATAGGCTGAGGTGGCCGAAAAATTAAAAACTACCTACGCTCCGATGATAGCAACGACCAAGCTGGCAAAACTTTAAGGAATGGCGTAGCTTTCATAACGCCCCTGATTTTTCTTGCAAGTGAAATGAATGCCTCAAACTACATTCTATGTCAGCGTTGAAATCCGTACAATCCCTTCTTTAAAGCACATTTTTCGCCATTGCGATCGCCAACGGAGACAACACGCAAAAATTGTCATAGTTCAGGTGTCTGAGATTTATTGTGGCCGAAAAACTGCTTTACAGTAAAACTGTGTTTACACGTACTACAAAGAACGAAAACTTAAACCCGGAACACATTTTTCAGGAACTCAAAGCCCTTGAACGAAATACGATGCGCGGCAATACGCACTGAACGGATGACATTTTTTGAGTCACCTTCCATGTTCAAAAATAGACCAAAAATATCAGAGATTTTACACGTGAAACCCCGTACTGGAGCTAAAAGCATAAATGAGTCTGATGTGAAGCTTTTCAGGGCCTTTGAGAGAACCGACCACAGCCCGGACCCCGATAGAATGGATTCCGAGAGCTACCTAGCCTAAAGGCTAGTAAACAGCGCGCTTCTGTCGTTCGTCAGCGTCCAGTAATTACGCATGCCGGGGCGAGAGCTCGTCTGTACTAAAACGCTGCGCATCGAGGCACTCCGCCTGAGAGAGCCACGCTGCAGAGGATCGCGGCGCGTTCTGGAAAAGTGGACGGAGTTTCTGTTTAACAAACACTTAAGGGTACGTCGTTGAAGTGTACCGCATTTACTGCATTATGACTCAGCAAACATTGGCAGAAGAAGGTTATCTGCTTGGTATATTTAAGGAATGAAGCCTCCTCCAAGCTGGTCCCTTCCGTCCAACCACCGACTCCCAGGCCAGATCGGCATTTTATCCTAAGATAGATCAATAGTGAGCAATGGTAAATTACTAGGGCAAAGGTAAATACACCTGGGTTTAGCCAATAACACTATTTTGTAGCAAGGCAGGCGCACCAGGTCTTTCCCATCAGATTACGCGCAAGGCACAATCTAAGCTGATCAGCTGAAGGCGTTCTTAGGTAAGTTGTTTTGAATTTAGTGTAGTAAATCACAAGCACTTCACTCACTCAATGCTTTCAGTTGAGCAGGTGATAGCACACTTGAGAACTAAAAATTCTTTAAGAGTTTTGAATCGCGACACTTCAAGTTATCTTCCTGGCTTCCAATAACATTCTGCAGGTAGTTGATC